AAATGAGCGAGTCGGATGATGATCGAGAGCACGTTTCGATAATCTGACGGGAAATGTGTCTAAAGCCGTTCTATTCGGAGACAAATTTCAACGCATTAATACAAAATTTATTGATTGGTTTATCAATTAATGCATTTTAAACATTTGAGATCGATTGAAATGATTATTGTGCTGATAGGTACTCTATTTACTGTGTAATAATTAATATTACTTTTTCATTTTAACAACTGCCCACAAAAAAAGTAAACACTCAAACATTAAATAATCTAAAGTAAATAAAATGTATGTTTTAAAGATAAACGTTTACTTATGTTAAAAAAACGGTTCTACATATCATTACATTTTAAAGGAGATGTATTTATTCGCATTTTATACCTTATAATAATTACAACAAAAAAATAATACAAAAAAAATTTTTTGAAATTGAAATTTTTCCATGCACTCATAAGAGAGAAGTAAGGTCACCAAAACGACTTCTTCGTGTCTCGTTTCATTCTCCAGGTAGACGACGGCACCACACGGTTTGGTTTTTCTTGTCGGTCGTTTTACCCGTCTTCTTCTTCATCTTCTTCATCTCTTTTCATTTCTTTTTTTTGCTTCCTTCCCCGTCGTATGGATTCTTTTCAAGAGACCGGTTTCTATGTCCATCTTTTGAAGGACGAGAGATTCTTTTATGTCGTGCTCTTCTTGTTTCGAAAAACCCTACCACCTTGGGGTGTCTTTCCATTTACACAGTTATCTAATTGTTTAACTTACAAAAAAAATACCAGAAACTATAAAAACTTTCAAGAATAATTATCCGTTATATAAGCTCACTCGTGTGTATAATTATTAAATTTCTTTCTGTTTAGAAATAAAACTCGTATTTTATCCGTAAAACAAATAACGTTTATAAAGAACATATGGTGACACATTTTTTTAATAAACCTTAATTGCTCTCGACCATAAGGCTTGGTATACTTTTCCCATTTACTCTTCTAATTATTGTACCACCGTTAAAGTTAATCGAACCTCCACATTTTGTTATCATAATTATCGTCTCATTCAGAATCAACAAGGTAAGACAAGACAAGACAATGAAGAAGACACTGCTAATACAGCAACGTATCTATGTAACAATGGTGAATGCAGACACGCGCAAAAGTGAATGTTGTTGGTAATGATGTCGAACAAATAGGCATTGTTTTTAACGAAGGCGATAAGAAACCGTGGGAATAAATAATTTTTTAAAGATTATATTAATTTATTAAAGAAAAAATTAATTATCTTTGACAAATCATCATCCAAATTAAAAAAAAAGCTTTAAAATGGCTCCAAATACGACGTAATTATTTAAAGATAACCCAGTCGTGTTTGGGTTCATTTTTAAGCATATCCAATGATTTATTGAATCTTTTAGAGCTAATTAAGATAAAATTAATTGTTTTGTTTGTCTATCTCATTTCTCATCAATATTTATTGGAATTGATTAGTTATCGATTCGGTTTACATATGTCGGACGACCGTTACATAAAGCGCGCGAGGAATTATCAATCGGAGAGAAGTTATTTCGATTTTTCTTTCTCCTTTCATTTCCTTTCAACCAACAACTGACCATATGGCGTATTTAACTGTGTTTAAACTGCATCTGACTGTTCGAGACGGACTTGAAATAGAAACACGACGGGATCAAATAATTGTTTTTCTTGGTACTTTAAAGCTGTTTAAAACCCGCTTTTGAAAGCAAACAATTCCTTTTAACCTAGAAATACTTCTCTGAAATTTTTTAAAATAATAAAAACAGTTTTTAATTTATTTTTAGTTAGGTTTCGTTAAAATGATACATTTTTTTTTGTTAATACATGTTGTTTATTAATTACTTGAAATGTTGTTTAAAATTGATTTAATTTGATACCAAACACGATTGGATTATCTTTAGTGGATCTCGAGAAACGTAAATTCATTTGTAATCTAAGACGACTGTCTGTCAGTTGTTTTTAAGTGTTTTTAGCAGCATTTAGGATTTCCCGGACTTCTCATTACTCACTCCAGTTATCCAATCAGAGTGGTTATCAAACCACATCACTTTTGACAACCTCAGTAAAGTTGCAACAAGAAATTGCATTCTGAATTATGTTTGTTTTTTTGGAGTCTATCCCACCAGATTTCATTTATAATAAATGCTACCTGCATTCTGTTAAATGTCACCCTCTTATGTTTATCTCTGACAAAAATAGTGATTAGCATAACTGACAGTGAAGAAATTGTGCTCTTCGAGGATTAATCAGGCTATCCATAGTGACGTTCTATAAAAGTGGTGCCAGTACACCTCCTTAAGGGCATCCTTGTAACAGTCTCTTTGGGACCTTTAAGTTAACATTGTACTTTACCGAAGCCACATTACCCATGAACGACGTCTATATTTATGAAAACTCCTAAGGGAAAGTCTTTAGAGGAAGGCGTTGATTTCTGGAAAACCTGATTACAGTGCGACGTGTTGTCATATGGACTATGCGCGTAGGCTTCTTTATTGGAATTTAGTAATCTATGCAAAAGCCAGATATCCCTGCAAGAAATCTTTTGAGAATGTAACAAACTGTCAGACAAGACATTTCTTCAATGAGATATTGTTATCTATGAGGTATCAATTTTAGTAAGCTTCGTGTTGGAGGGCGGACTATCGGGCCAAAAGGTTTTGAGCTACAAAAAGCTGCTAATACAATAGCCTACCATATTTTGTCCATTACAGATTTCTTTAGCTAACATTCACTCTTCTGTAGCCGTTGTTTGATTCGTGTCTTCCTGAATAACTGTACAGACTTCCAAACCGTCACCCTTCTTTAATAAGCCGATTCGTCGTTTCAAGTCAGAAGCAAGCACCTTTTTCTGACAATACTAATACTTTTTTAAACTGCTAGACTCGAAATCTAATTGACAGCTTTCAACTCTGTTATGAACTATTATTATCAATTATCACCTTCGTTTTAAGGTTGTTGATATCAGTGTGCCTTTTTGAAAAACGGTATTAAGGAATCGATCTAAATTGTTGAACATTTCTGTTGGGACCAAGTTAGCCTTTTAAATCTAACTTATCCAACTCAATGCTTCTGACGTTGCACTTGATGTTTTCTCGAACTTTTTGAAAAGTGTATGGAAAGTGATCGATCTGTGAGATCTTGAGAAATATCAGAAGCTCGGTTAAACAAATTAAGATTACTACTCAAAATGAAGTCTAAAATGTTATACTCAGCACATTCCTAAGGGTCTAAGTTCCAGTTCTGATCTAACGTTGTCCTTATTACAATAACTGAGAATAGAGTCGGTTAAACCACTCTGTTCATAAACTCAGGATTTAAAAATCCTCGGATCATTTCTATAGCGTTTATCATTATGTCAATATGACGACAGTTCATGGGAATTACAACCTTATAATACAAGTTACATTAAGAAGCCAATCTCGAGTCACATTCGGAAGTGAAATGTGGATTTTATGGCCGATTATCCGTTTGGCATCTTTCAAAAAGTTTATTTTTATATCAATAATTATGATTTTTAAACAGGCATTTAAAAATATATTATTTACACTTCATACACTTTTAGAGTACTAAAACAGTAAGGTGTTTAGACACTTTTTCACCGTTTATCAGATTTACGGTGTGTTTTAACTTAAAGCGGGGTGGACTTCAATTTAATTTTAAATCCTAATTGTCGTTGAGCTCTTGTCGGGTGAATGTTTTGAAATCATAGTAGCGTGTTTAGTTGCGAGAATGGATTACGTTACGAAGAGAGGTTCAGTTTTGCGAAAATTGTGTCTGCAAATTTCTGGTATAGAAATAACACTGTATTATCTAGGTCTTCTGTTCTCGGATTTCGCAGTAGCGGGGGTGAGTGAGCGATAAACGTGAAGGCGGGGATGGCGGTTAGCGATGTGGGAATACTGACGATAACAAAGTGGATATCCAGAAATCTCTGTGGGGTTTTAGGTGGTGGTGACGACAGTAGTCTTTCTTCCTGAGTGGTTGAATTTCCTGTGGACAAATAATTATAGGTATTACCAAGGGAGTTAATGTCCCTTCGTTAAATAGCTTCTTGGTACACAATTAACATCCTCTGTTAACCGGCATTTCTTTTTCATCAATGATATCGCAGCTGTCGACTTTGTGATTATCAATACCCTTGAATTATTTTCAAGATTCTTTAATCTGTATCCATATTATTCAACATTCACAGCACGCAATACTATGAAGCATTTAGATCATGATTTTGGGCTACTAAAATACGAATCAGGCTTTACTTGTCAGAGTTGTCTATAACTCGTAATGCAGATTTTGATTCTTGGTGAGGTGAGACGATTAACCTCTCTCACTACGTTATAGACCTCAGTAGCGTCATTTTTAAAATCTCTCCAGAATATATCATGTAGCTTAACGTTGGTAGGATTAATCCTTAATTTTGATATAGCTTTATTATTAGCTCGACTTAATTCGATCAATTTCTAACCTTGTATTTCATCATTAACGTATCTCAACCTTAAGATGTGAGATATTAATTGATTTGATTCAAATTGTGTTATTATACGTAAGTATGCACTTATTTGACACCAAACTCGGTTAGGTTATCTTCAATGACTTCCAAAGTATATTCATTTGTTTATAACGCAAGATGGCCGCCAGTCAATTGTTTCGATTATTTATTAACAAACAACGTTGAAGAGATATTATTGGAAATGCCTTTTTATTTGACACCAAACACGTCTAAATTGTCGTTAATGGCTTCCAAAGTGTAGTCATTTGTTTATAATGCAAGATGGCCGCCAGTCAATTGTTTCGATTGTACTAACAAACAACGTTGACGAGAATTTATTGGAAATAGGGCATGTTGGGTGTGGTTTCAAGCAAGTTAAAGATGATTTTTACGAATTTTAGGGTTATATGATGGAAAAGGGGTATCTTTAATCTTATTTTAAATTAAAATTAATTCAAACTTCAACAAATTAATTCACAATTTTGTTTTTGTTTCAGATTATCGTATTTTAGTTAATGTCCATCCTCAGAATACACCATAACGTAAGTAAAAACTTAAAAAAAATCACAATTTATTTCTTGTTTTAGGTTACATTCCTTTTTCATTTTTTTTTACTCAACATACTACTACCTATAAAGCTATTAACTTTGTCGGTAATTTACGTAATAAAACTCCTCCCGTTAAATATTCATTAGTACTACTACGCGTTCGTTCGTACGCGATGCCTGTTAAGTTGATGAGGTCGAAGCAGGCGGTGCGGCGCAACGACGTCCAACAAAGACGGAGAAATCGTATGGCTGCATGGGTTCGAGTGAAATAGATGTAAAAGAGCGTCGAGTTATTGACCCGAATCAACTTGAATCGCCCGGCCGCGCACTTCTATATAATTAAAAAGAACACGATGAAACCGCCTCGGACGCAGCGTTACACCCGTGAATTTGTCGTTGAATATTTAGATATTAAAGATGATAACTGACTGGGAAAAGATAAAAAAAGCTATAATAATTAATTAGTGATGATTATTATGTGAAAATAAAATGATTATAACTATGTTTAAACTGACAAATTTGGCTCTAAATAAATCATAATTTTTTTTCATCACATAATTAATGAAAATGTAATTAATTAAACGTTCTAAACGACACTCTTTTTATTATTTTATTCTTAACGTTGTTATAAATCGTACAACGAGTTGAATTTAGATCGAGAATTGCGGTTTTTAGTTCAAGGAACTCGTTAACAACGTCGTCGTCGGTCGGTGTTTAATGATCGCCAATTTATTATTCATATTATGTATTTAAATTATGGTATCGTTTCTTGGAATACCGATTATTATGGTATAATTATATTAAAGAGAGAAAAGGAAGGAGTACTGTAATAACCCTACACCTGGCATTATTGGGAAAATGTATAATTCATGCGCGATTTCCGCTGATTTGCTTAATAATCCCCTGGTTAATACATTTAATTAAGTTTGATCACTTTCTTAATCGTTTTAAAATCGTTAATTGATTAATAATTTATTATGTGAAAATACCCTTTCGATTTTATCCACATAAATTTCTTCTTGAAATTTATATTTAGTATGTATGACAGCGAAGATGAGTTGCAATAGATGCGCGCACGATTTCTGATGTGAGTAAATCATGCATTATTCAAAACTTACGATGGAAAATTCCACTCGTAAAGAAAGCTTTAGGACTATCGGTTTGTAAAATAATCAAATTTAAATGGTTTTTGATTTATTTTTTTTGTTAAAATTATAATATAAATAAAAAAATTTTAAATATACTTTCATGTTTTTCAAGATTAAAATTTTTGCGGTTAATTTTTTAGCATCCGTTATTTATATATCTCGATTGCGGTTGGGCTCGTTTAAAGAATTTTTAACGGTTTTCAAGGAAATAAAAGAATTTTTAAATTATTTTAGGTTTATTAAATGATTCGTTTTTTCACCGTACTTCTTTTCTCATCCTTTGTCAATATTTATTCGGTTAAACCACCATAATAATACAGTAAATATTGTAGTACTTGATATAACGGACTAATACGGGGAATTTTCAATTTGCACTTTAATTTGAATGGATAATTTTAATGCACACAATTTCACTACAACATGTTGGTCTGCATTGCTTTATATTTATACCAAGGACTGTAGAATTTAACAGCACTGTTACATCTCGCGAACAGGTGCACAGCTCGTAGGCCCGTTCGTGACGTCCCGCATGGGTAGGCAACTACTATTTCACGCTTTCAATTAACAAATGCTAGAACTAACACTAGACCTAGTTAGCGTCAGTTCTACTTTTAGTTCAATAAACATATACAACAATTTAGCACTGAATAATAACTAATTCGAGAAATAACACTAGCTTTAGAACTGACACTAGAACTAGAAACATTCGGGTTTAATCGTAGGGCTAAACCCGAATATTTCTAGTTCTAAGTCTAGAGTTAGTTTTACTTTAGTTCAATAACAATATACGACAATCTAATGCTTAATAACAATTAAAACAAGAACTAACACTAGACATAGAACTAGAATCATTCGGGTTTAGCCGTCTTGAGAGACGTGCGGTTAAACACAGAAGTTCTTGGTCTAGCGTTAATTCTAGTTTTCCTCCAATAAAAATCTAATGCTGTATAACAACTAAAACTAGAATTACCGTCCTTGATTTATACATCGTGTAGACAACTCGGAGAATACCCCGAGTTCATCTATAAACATGGAATAGAACAACTTGAAGAATAACCCGAGTTGGATTCCATCTAAGAGCGCTAACATTTATATTTAAATAGATAATAGATTCTACTGTGTTACATTATTATAGTAAAGGAAATGCGTCTCTGTGGTCGTGTAGGATATTCGACGTATCCGATTAGAACATTCCCTCGGGTGCACCAGACCAAATGCTTCGAATAACTCGGACATTAGTCGATAATGCCGGTTCATTTACCTAAATAGGTTCAATTTAAACTCAAAATAATCGTTAATTATCGTCCATTTAAATGTAAATCTTAATTGTTTGAAGCACGATCTGGGTAAATATTTATAACTTTTGAATTGTTTATATAGTTAAAGTTAGAATAAGAGAAAATGAAAACAAAATGCATTCAAGAATTGTTTCTCTTCGTCATCTATTTCCTTTCAATATAAAGCTACGCTTTCCATTTAAGGAAGCGCACCCATCGTTGTTGTCTTGTTTGTTTTTTGCCACTATAGCGTTCCTCTTTTGCAAACAATGGTCTACTCTAGTCCCCTACGAGAAATTCCCACGACTTATCTTACTAAAGTACTTATAAAACACAAAGAAAACACGAACAATACGCGGCTTTTGCCGTTCGAAAAGATGTCATAACAAATTATCTGCTATAAATGAAGACATTAATTTTAAGATCTCTTTTAAGTTTGAAATGTAGATGATTTTCATTATTTTTCTTTTTTTATTTTATTATTTTAGGTGTAAGATGCAGTGTGTGAGGCAGTGGGTCGCCGCAGGGCACGGTCTCGGCGGCGGGGCCCTTTGCATCGGCGCATGGCGGCCCCAATGAGATCCACGAGCTCGCAGCAGGAAGCTGGCCACCGAGCTAGGGTGGCGGACCTCCGGCAGCAGGGCCCCCTACATTCATCGCCGTGTATAACGTCGTCGTCGAATTCGACCTCTTCGTCGACCTCAACCTCAACATTACAACAACACCATCACCAGGTCATTCAACAACAACCACCGACATCGCAATCGTCTTCTTCCTTAAATCATCATCATCACCACCACAACCACCACCACCATCATCATCATCACCATCAGGGGCTGTCCGTGGCCGCCTCAACGACGACCAACAATTTTGAGTATGACGATAATGAGTGGGACATCGGAATTGGAGATTTAATTATCGATTTGGACGCGGATATTGAAAAAACGAACGAAGGAAATAATAATAATAGTATTAATAATAGTAATAGTAGCGGAGGTGGTTTGACACCTTCTTCTGTTACTGGTGTCGGGGGAAATTTGGTGCCGGGGACCACCACTCTTTGTGGTGACCAACAGCACCATCAGGTTAACGCTTTGCAAGCTACCACTGTGATGGCTACCAGCGCTAATCCAAATACCTCGACGAAAAACGCTGCTAAAATGGCCATTGAACATTCGGCCACTGTTGATAAGGTAATAAATTTTTAAAAAACTATTTTCACTAACTCACTATTTCGACTACATATTAAAGTTAACGGTAACCATGGCAACCATACTTAAAATTTATTAGTCTATATTTTTAATAACTTGTTGATGAAATAGGATAGAAATAGTATTTGAGAATGATATTTAAAGTTCGAAAAAATCCAAATTTTTCCGTACTATTAGGGATGTAACTGTTTCTGTTATACAGGGATTATTTTGGCGAGTGAATATTTAATAGTGCCACAATGGGATTAGTTTACAGCGCAACTACTGGTTTTGATCGTTTACAATTTTGCATGATATTAGTTTATTATAGTGTGCTATAACCGGTAATGTACCAATACTTTACTAAAGTGTTTGTGTAAAGAAGATGAAGATAAAAATAAATTGGTGCAAAACAAACTTCTTATAAAACTACTATTACTACTAATCTCTATATAATCGATGTTATCTAGCAGTTGACTTTAGATTCTGGTAGATGCGTTATCTTCTACGTTTTCGTTATTACACTCTTGGAGTGAACTCGGTCCAAGCATTGGTTTGGTTGCTCTATATACTAAATTATCGTCAGTCATGTGTTCATACACTAAAACATTCAAGTCAATGTTTAGCCACTGTGGTATATTTTCTTCTTTCGCTCCCTGAACATGTTTTTACGACTGGAACATATCTGAATATTCAAAATTATGTTCTTCAATTGATTCATGGCATAAAATTTCCTAAACTGTTAAGGAGGATTGTTGTCCTTTGAGATATCATTAATTTTTTCTGGACAACCTTTTCATTGGTTTTATGGGTTGGGTTGATTCCTGGTGATCAGGGCGTTAACATTTGGCGGGATATGAGGGAGACCTTTGTCGTCCGTGTATACTGTGTCTTTGACTTTCCTACTACTGCTGATTTCAGTTTATTTTCTCCAATAGTTTTTTAGTAACGTAAGACTCTAATCTAATTTCATTGCCAGGAGCAGTTTTTTTTATTAGCAGATGTTAATGTACGCCAATAGAGGCCGGTTTCGTCAGAATTATATATTTGGGCAGGTACTAAATACCTTTCTTTAAACATGTTTGATATCGTATCATAGAAAATTATAGCTCCAACTTTGCTAGCACTAAACTGTTCTCCTTGAATTCTTTAAAGTGTTATAAATGTAAGTTCTTTGATGATATATAACATATAACATTTCCAACAAGTATTGGACTTTAGCTAACACATACGGACCGGGCATCGGCTCTCTTAGTGCACTTTGTGGAGAAAATCACTTCACCATTGCTCATGCACCTGGATTCAGCTCATACATAGAAACAAAGATTTCTAATTTGAGCTGCTGATTAACTAAATCGCGTACGGTTTGTTGTCGAACAATTTATATATTTTTTTCAATGTTAAAACCACTTGTTTTCGCTGAGGAGCCATGGTTGGTACTAAAGAAAGGATTACTATGTACAGTAACTTCGCAACACGAATATGAAAAGGTAGGATTGTCATCCGTCATCTCGGATTTGTTCTAGTTTAGAAGGCGTTCAGGGAACGTTGCGACGGATGTTTTTGACAAGTAGCCAAAATAATACTTTTACAGAACAATGCCGCCCACGTTTTTCTAATTTCAAAAGTAAATTTAGTTCATGTTGATATTTTAGAAAATGAATATTACATATTTTACTACTATTTTTATTATAAAGATCTGTTTTCAAAACTTCCCATTTTCCTGGTTCAGTTTGTACAGAAAATGTAAGAGAGTAATGGAAAAGAAAATGATTTGAGAAGCTGTGTTATCTGTTAAGTGGTCTAAATCAAGATTACAGGAATGATCGTAGTAATAATAAGCAGATAACTTTGAAATCTTTGAAAGAAAAGTTGTTGAAATCATAAATATTCTTTATATATTCTTATTCTGTTTAGTTTTTTGATTTATTTAAATTACTCCAATCAATTTGTATATGAGGAAAATAAAAGTATAGTTTGCAATTTACTCCTTAACTAATACCTAAGTAACAGTAAACAGTAAGGTTGCCTCGGTAATAATTAGCGATTATTCATATGAAACACATATTTTTTCCGTTGTTTTCAATTCTGGATACTGTTGCAAATTAATTTTCCACATCATATGTTATAAGAAGTAATAATTTTCTGTTATAGTAACCACGATTTAGGGTGTTGTTGCCATGGTTACCGTTACAACTTGTCATAGAATCAACTCAATCTAGGTACACTTATGGCGTCGTTTGTACATCTGATATTTTTTGACAAACACAGAATTTGGCATGGCAATTTTCATGAATTTGTCTAAATAATAACTTTGATAATCATCATTAGATGGTGTCCGAATAGGTTATCGAAATTTTACCTGTAAGCAAGTTTTTACTTCTGCCGGAACAAAATTTGTAAATTACATTAAAAATATCAGATGTGTACCAAGCCTTATGCAATTCCTTCCGAAATGAATGTTAATAAGAAAATATATATTTTCTTTTGTAAGGGTTTAAAAATGAAAATAAAACGTACAAAACCCGGAACGAAATCATCAGAAGCAAAGCACGAAATCGTCAAGAGTAACGAACAGAACGGTACGACGGACACAACGGATATAATTACGGGTGGCGGCGGCGGTGGTAAAGGAACTTCCGGTACGTCGGGTAACACGACAACAAGCGGGAAACATCCGCCGCCAAATTCGATAAACGCGAGCGGCGGGATTTCATCGCTGTCGAACTCGTCCTCGTCGAATTCGCAAAACTCGAATTCCTCGTCGTCGTCGTCGAGTGCGAATTCAACGAGCGGGAGTGGTTCGGGTAATAAACGAAGTTCAGGCGGCCATCGAAGGGACAAAGCGCGGGACAAACACTCGGAAAAACAACAAGCTGCCGCCGCTCAGCAACAACAAACCAGTGCCCAACAAAATAGCAATTCTAATAGTAGCGGTGGTAATAGTAATAATAATAGTGGAGGTAACGCGCAAAGTAACAGTAATAATAATAATAGTAAAGTGAGCGGAAATAATAATAGTAATAACGGTAATAGTGCTAATAACGGTGGTAGTGGAGGTAATAATGTTCAAGTGGTAGACGGGGGTTTAGTGAGGGTTAGTGCGGGACAAGTTGGTGGTCAAAGACCGGTTTTTCCAGCTAGTACAGGACCTGGTCCACCAAGTAACCAACAGCAACAAATTGGCGGTAGTGTCATCGGTGGGCCTCCACCCAGTCCTGCCGCCGCCACAGCTCAAGGATCCGCCAGTAAACCAGAACAAGCCAAAGTTGGAATCGGTGGAGGGAGTGCACGACAGCCAACACCACCTACAGGAGATGATAGAAGTTCATCACCACCACCCAGTAAGAAGATAAAAACTGAAATTAAGGTAAATTCTAAATCTAATTACTTTTTTAATCTAAATATTCAATCTCCATCGTGACTATAATGTAGATAGGAGGGTGGTGTTAAATTCCTTTACTATAAATCACCGTGCCAAAAAACCGTCATTGCCTCTCTCAAAGAAGGGGAGGAGACCCGGAAAATTGCGCTGAATTCTTTGTCGCTACGTTTCAATTTAGGATAGCTACGAGTCGTTCCGCTGTCGCATTCGTTGCTTTCCAATCCCACCCTCTTTCCAAGGGGGTAATCTTCCGTTACCATCGATCCCGTTTTAACGCCCTCTAACGTTATCTTTGTAAAAATCTTCGTTCACTTTTTAAAAATGCAATTACAATTTTTTGAGTAAAAAAACAACGTTAATTGGAAAAAAAAGCATTTATCAACAATCTCTTTTTTGTCACGGTCGAAATTTTCAATAGCATGCAAATTTTCAGGCAATCAGTTTTGATTACCCGTCCTCTGTTGCTTTTTGCGTTTTGTTGAAGTGTTGAGTTCAAAACAGGCAAAAAAATGTAAATGTAAAAAAAATAAACGACAATAAAAACCCTGACCGACAAGTTAAAGCACGCACGACCGGAAATCGCCACCCGAAACAATTGAAACGAGCGCGCGCTTTACGAATATAAATAAACGACTACAGCGACCCCCCCAGAGTGTTTTCGTGTTCGTTCGCCTCGTTGAAAATCTCCCGGCTCCTACTCGATTGCGGCCAACAAAAAAAGTTGTCGTTTTTTAATTCCATTTGTTACCGCTTTTTTTTCTTTGTTTTGGTTCGTTTTAGGTTTCATTTCCAATTCCGTTTTATAAATTACTAAAAGTGAAAAAGAAATCGAAGAAGTTTTATCTTTTTATACCTCATTATCCTTGACCCGTACATATAACATAACAAATAAAAACATCCCTTATGTCTATATAAAACTGTAAAAAAAAGAAGTGTTATTTTATTATTTTATTCTCCCTCAAAAAAAAAAGAGCCATAAACCCTATATCCCATTACTAACATTGGGTGTTTGATGTGATCGGGTGTTGGCACCACCCGATCACGTGTTATAAAGAACAATAACACAGCTGTAACATGTGACTCGTATCTTGCCTCCCGAAGGCAGATGGTTGCGCACCCCATTGTAAACGACCTCGCTCAAGGGCAACGAGAAGGGGGAAATTCTCCTCTTTCCCATTTTATACACTCATCTCATCACCCCTCAACCTACCATGGGGGTCCCCATGTTCGATTGGGATCATTAGCGATCAACTATCCATCTATGGCAAAGAGGGTAAACGTCACTCGTCAACTGCTTTTCCTTCTCTAACTTGAACAGAGGAAAGGAAGAGGGGTAAAAACCTCTTGTGTTCTGCATTGATATTGTCGATAAAAAAAAATGGGGCAACGACAGCTGTTAATTAAAGAGAGGATTAAAGCAAGTTGAGGGTTAATTGGTGGTCTTATAATTTTGATGTTATCATTTTGAAATTGACTGTGAAATTTGGCCAACATTAATTATTAATTAGTAAGTAATAGGGGTTTTAATTTTATTGTATTAGCATTTTATATGTTCTTTGTTTAATAAATCACCTGTTCATACAGTTTTATGCTTTTAATTGTTTAAATCTTTGTGTATATGCTTCACCTAAACAATAACGAAACTTAATATTAGCCAGTATTAACTTATTTACACATTTACAAGGGAAGCGTCAGAAGTCTTACCAATATACGTCTTTTTATACGTGCTCATAAAGCCCTTGGGGCGAGTTAGCAGTTTATATTTGCCACATTATGATAGCTGTTTTCATCAAGAATTTAAGAAAGATTTGCAGAATACATTCGAAACATATTTATAGCTTTATGAAATGAGCTTGTTGTTGCCGCATTTCGTAAACATGTGAAATAATGTAAACAGAACCAGTTCTATCTTTCCAGAATTAACAGAAAATCATCACTTATTTAATTTGTTTATTCATCCTTCAATTAAATTAAGTGCTTGTTCGTGTCTAAAATGATCAATTCATTTACGTTACCAACTCTAAGAGAATTTGTTAAATTGACACGTTTCCATAAGTTAGAATATTCTCAATATCGCATCAATGCCTCATTGTCGATGTGGACGTACCCTTACTTTTGCACCCTTTGTAGTTCATGTTTTCGTTTCTATAAGAATGGGAGAATTAATTATGAAAGTAACTTTCTGCACTTAGTTTTATTATAAAATTTACTGCTACATCGTGCTACTAATTGACAGCCATATCTAGAAAATGCCGCAAAAACAACTCCCTTTATGGTTCCTGTAATCTTCAAGATATCTATTCTTAGCACTTCTTGCGCGATATATATAAGAAGACTTTATTCAACCCCACATGATGAAATTTAATACATTGATTTCTAAGAAGAAGCTATGGTAGCAAAGCTATGTGGTTTATATTTGGTGCAGTTACAAACACCAAATATAAGCCACATCGGTCGTTTTTGGTATTCAGAATTTTTTATAGGAACTCAAACATATTAATTTGCAAAATATGCAAGAACATTGAACATTGTTGCGTAATGACAGATGTATGTATATTTTGTTAGATAATTAGATGACAGGCGAGAAAATTAGAATCTCGTAAGCATTTGCCAACTAACCACCAGTAAAAATTACCTTTGTTGCAAATCTTATGGTAGATATACATAGGTAGCAGTTAATAAACTATTAATAATATCCTAGATATCGATTAAACAAAGTGACAAATTCACTAATAATACAGTACATATTGTCAATGCGGTTAACAAACAATAATTTGACGTGAATATGGTTTGGTTTAGTGACGAAGCTCACTTTCATTTGAATAGATACGTCAACAAGCGGAATTACCGTATTAGGGGGACTGAAAATTTCCATTTCGCGATCGAGTTCTCTCTCCATCCCAAACGGGTAACTATGGTGTTCAATCTCAAGTAGCAGAATAATCGATCCGATATTCACTGAAGTAAAATTTTGAATGAAAATTTTAGAATAATCTCATCCTTATTATCTAAAGTGACACAAATTTCGAAATATGTAGTTTATGGTCTTGCTATGTGCGACTCGATTGGACCAATACAATTGATGACCTGAAAGAGCACTTTGGAGAGGCTATCCTGGTTTTGAGATACCCAGAAGCTACTCGAATGAGAATTGCTAGGTTCCTTGACTTTTTGACACTTCTGTAGTAGCCATAATTACTACTAACCACTTTTTGAACACAGTTATTTTTGAAAATTTGAATTTTTATTTCATTTTGTTCAAAAATTGTCACCATATTTTATTCATTGGCTCTAAGATGGAGATGGAGATTTTCTTGTATTAGTAAGATAACTTAAGAGCATCACCACCCGTGGGAGTTCGATTTTTCTTTTGGCCATTATAAATTTATTGAGGTTGAAGAGTGTTGTTTCAAAACTAACCAAGTCTAAATTGATTTATTAAATGGGGTTGAGTTTATCATGTTATACCTAATGTAACCTGCTACTAGAATATTCAAACATCTCTTACATAATTTATCTGAATCGATATCGCACACCCATTGTAGTATTTCTTTTATAACTAGCTTCAGTTAGCGAATAACGATGATTTGCACGTTAGCGTATGGTGCTTTAAAAAATATGCAAAGTGAACTCGTGCTGCATAAATTATGAGCACACCAGTATGCGTTTTTAATAAAAGGAAGGCAAACACGTAATAAAAGTTTCAATGGTTATGTAACAAAATCAACATTTGCTACCTTTGTGTTACTTTGGTAACTGTGGCAACTTTGGCTATATAAGCTTACATTTTCCGTTCTGGAATCTCGTCAAAATATACAAAACACTGTTACATACACTTGGACGTAAAATGAAACTTTTAATGAAGTGTCTTCTGCACTGCTTCCTTTTGTTCACTTTCTTGGCTAATTGGAAATATAAGAAATAAGACGTTGGAGAAAACCCATGAATTTTAAGGCTATTGAAATAGTTATAAATTATTATCCCAGGTAGAACAAACATCTACACTCAAAGCCATATTCCTCTACTACATTCACACTTGTATTTTAGTCCAAATTCATCACATTTTCTCTTAAAGGTTTATCATTTAAATTTACTTACTTTGCACCTGAATGTGCACATACCATAAAAACCCAATTAGATAAATATCAACAATGTGATGTCAGCGATACAGAAACTATTACTGACTCATCAATCTGATTCATCAAAAATTTTTTTTTGCTGATGAATAAAGAGCTCATAAACTCAAGCTAATTTTGCATTATTATAAACAAACATAACATAACAATGTTTCAAAGTGTAACTAGGGGATGTCAGAAGTGATACTACTTGAAATAAAGTTTATAGGCAGCTTTATCCATTTGTGAAATAGGATTTAGAACTTTTTCGCTCTTACACTCACTCTAATTGTAAGTTAGATATAAAGACTATTGATGTATACACACCCTAGTAAATAAAACGAAGAATATACGACAAAAAAGAAAGAAATGGTGAAAAAAGCTTTTAGTGTAAGCAATAAAAGCGACGTATTAACGGTTTCAATTAAATAGCCTCTAACAAACCAACCAACACTTTGTTTTTGTCGTCACCTCAATAATAGAATTTCTCCACAACAGACAAATTCTGACAGATACGGCTCGGTTAACCACCGATCGTCCCGGAAACATTCGCCCCCTTTAACCTCCTCCCCGGTCCATCCGACAAAACCTCCAATCCCCATTGCCGCCGCCGCCGCCAGCAGTTTCCGGAATAGACCCTCGTTCCATTTCTCTCATCTATCTCTATTTCTCTCTTTCTATACATCCATTTCTCTTTATCCGGCTGTCCTTTTCTGTCACGTACTCGAAACGTTTCCACCGAAATGGCCGCCGCCGCCACCCTTTCCTCTCCCTCCCCCCCAATCGCAGTCGCCACCATCCCCCTCATCCATCTGTCAGAGAGCTTTTGGGGTTGAAATTGTACCGCGGAACGTTCGCCGGCGGCAGTGGGGGCGTCGACGATGACGGCGACGGCAAACGGGGCGAATCAATACTCTGCGGTCTCTACACAACAATGCTGTTCACCGCGACCGTGTTAGACCAAAAGCTGCAACCGGGGAAAACGAGAAGAGTGTAAACTAGAAAGAGAGAAAATCAGAAAGGGAACTAGATATAGAATAATTTATAGAGAAAGAGAGAAATATAGATAATTTGGGGGTTGGCAATGAAAGAAAGACAACATTTGATAGAGCGAGAAACACTGCCTTTGAATGAGATGGACAAAGATGGAGTGAGAGTAGCTAGTTGGGTTAGTGGGGGGCGGAAACGTGAAATCCATTAAATTAAGCGTCCGACGGATTAACTCGGAACGCGACCGGTTGAGGGGGTGATGAGGAAGTGGGGTTGATATGCAAAAGGGGGGCGGGATAACACGACAGCGGTGGCGGTGGGTGGGCGGTGGCGGTTTAATCCACGTAATATGTTAATAAATCCCCGAAAGGGGAACATTGATTTCGCAATGGCACAGCAGCGAGGTTTCCCTTTTATTAATTTTCATTTAATTTGATAGCTCGACGGTGGCAAATGCATTATTTAATGAAAGGGTCGGCCGCTGTATGTTTGGAATATTTGGTTTTGTTTTGTTCATGATATTTTCGAGTTGAATATTAACTCGTATTCATAACCACTTTTAATTATTTAAATATAAAAAAAAACAACAGTTATTGTTGGGTATTTACAATTTCAAAAACTACCTGAATTTAATCACTTACAAACCCATTTATATTTAAAAGATAAAAACATTTAAGAAGAAACCCATTTGCGTTTCTTAATAGAGTTTTAATAAGTCATCAATATTCTCGTTATTTATAAGAAGCTTTAGAAGTTTAAGTTTAAATTTCAGTTAGTTACCGTTCAGAACATGAACATGCAAAGTGAAATCCATTAAGAAGGAATTCGAAAAGAATGATCATGGTTTTAGAAATGTGTGGTAAAACGTTTTCAACCGAACAAAAAAGTGCTATTTGTGTCGCTTTGCACTTAGAAGGTTACAATTACGAAACTATTTCGAAAAAATTAAACGTTTGTATCAGCAAAGTTAAACGTAGCGTGGAAAGATACAATAATGTTCGGTCTTCGAAGCGATTACAACAACAAAATTACGCTGATTTAAAGGTGAACATAACATTTTTATAAAATAAGTTTTATTTCAACACATCGAAAACTCACCCTTAAAGTTTTATGTATCAACAAATGTTGGAATAAACATTGGATAATGGTAATGTTAGATTTTCTTTGTATAGCAATTAATTGATATTATACTCGTGTATAAGTGAGTAAATGCATAAACTGAGCAGACACGAAAGTGTTAATTTTAAAGGAAAACTGGTGATTAATTAGCGAGTTTAGAATCTCTTTCATGGTGCGTCGGTGCAAACGTCGGTCGTACCGGGGACGTTTTACGAAACGAAGGTGTTAATTAACCGTCTATCGGCGGTCCGCCGACTGGCTAAAAATAGTTTACCGGCGCTGACTCGTGATTAACGAGGTACAAATTCAATCGAGGCCGCACCGGTTCATGCATGTATGTGCGAACCGAGAACGGCCGTGCATTCATTGTCCGATGATTTAATACGATCCTGATTATTCCGTCCGGCTGATTAATTAAAGGGGCGTGTTTATATAATGAACATTTCGTTTTGAAACTGAAACAAATTAATAAATGTAGAAAGAAAGTTTTATAAACTAATCATGTTTGATTATAATTATTATTATTATTAATGATTTTGTTTGTTTTAGGAAACTGTTGACGTGTGCGTTGGAACAAGTGTAGGAACAATAACGGAACCAGATTGTTTAGGACCATGTGAACCCGGAACTAGTGTAACATTAGAAGGAATTGTTTGGCACGAAACCGAAGGAGGTTAGTTTTTTTTATTTGAAATATTTTTTTTTGTTAGGTCGATTTAATTTTGTTGAAGGTGTATTGGTCGTAAATGTAACGTGGAGAGGTAAAACGTACGTGGGCACGCTCCTAGACTGTACTCGCCACGACTGGGCCCCGCCGCGCTTCTGCGATTCTCCGACCAGCGACCTGGACACGAGGACGCCGAAGGGCCGAGGTAAGAGGGGCCGCTCGGCAGCGGCTACGACAGCCGCCGCAGCAGCAGCCGCAGCCGCCACCGCCAACACACCCAACACTGACCAGACAAACAACAACTACTTCACAGAGACCCGATCGTCGGCGCACAGTAAGCTGCGTAACGGAGGCGGCGCGACCGGACCTGGGGCCCCCAAGGGAAGACGCGGTGCGGCCGCCAACGGGGCAAACCCCTCGGCGACGGCCGCAACCGCCACGGCCCCATCATCGCCAACACCGTTCGCACCGCCTCGCGTCGAACCGAGCAACAAAAGGAAGAGCCGAAGCGGCGAAGAGGACGGCGTTCCTACCGGTGGAAAAAAAAGCAAAACAGCCGCGAATGCAACAGTTTCCACATCATCATCGAACAGTTCATCGTCATCCACAACATCCTGTTCATCAAACGCCTTAAATTCTTCGCCACCACCATCCCCGGTACTCTTAGAATGTCCCGAACCAAATTGTTCGAAAAAGTACAAGCACATAAACGGCCTCAAGTATCATCAATCCCACGCACACGGTTCAGCGGACGACGAGGACACCAAAGACGTTACGTCAATGTCTGAAAATGACGAAAGTAGCAATATTGAAGCTCCGAGTCCTGCCACGCCAGTTAAATCGCCAGATAAAAGTCAAGACTCACCGGCTACACCCCAGAAAAAGGAAGATCTGCCATTGATATTAAGAAGCTTGGACGCTACAAGTCAACCGGATACGCCGAGAAGTACACCCCCTTCACCGGCTACCCCGCAAAGTATACAAGATATGACAAATTCCGTTGGATCGCCAAGTGTACCTTTAGCGGAAGCGGCAAGTAATGGAGTTGCGAAAAATGTCGTGGCAAAACCAAGCGTTCTTAGGTATACAGAAGAATTTCCGGTTTCGAATATATTTCCTGGAAATAAAAGTCAACCTGTATCAGGTAAGATAACCAATTTGTATTTAAGTATAACTGAGGTATAACTTGAAGACATCAAAATAACTTGTTTACAATTTAATTTACATAGGAAAGATTCACTCAGTTTTGCTTATAATTTTATAAATAAAACATAATACATAACTCGATCCGAATAAAAGTTATCTCTTGGACGAATAAAGTTTCGTCAACTATAAAGTTTCATCTACGGGTTTAATGTTTCACTTCATCCTTTTCGTAAATAACTACTATGGGTTGCGGAACATTCGGTTATCGTGCTCCTAAAGCTAGTTTGGCATCCCGCTATATAACCGAAGTTGATATTTTTTGCCAATTTTTTTTGTTTGGAAAGCTGTTTGCGGAATCCAACTCTAAACCGAACAAGGTGTAATCCCATCAAAACCTCGTTGAATCCGATAAAGCGTTTTTGACAGCAGCGTTTACCGTACAGCGAAATCCGTTATGTATATTCCGTAAAAACACTGAAAAAAAAATTAAACTTATCAGTTTGGAAATATGTCACATATCCAATTTTAAAATTAGCTATAAAATTATTGAGATGGAGTTCGAGACGAGAATTCCTAAAGTAGACCGAGATGCAACCGAGAAACACGATGAAAAAGAAACTTCGAACCGAATATATTCGAATTCACATAAGTAGAAATGTTTAGTGATTATGATAAACTTTACGGCGAAAGTTTTATTCCAACCAAAGTTGCTGAGATATCTATTCCTAAAATGGATGGTTCTTTATCGTTATAAAAATTAAATTGGCAAAGTGTCTTGGCACTTATGTATGTGAATTTATAACAATAAGCTGAAGACATCTTATTTTTGAAATGAGGTATTGAATATTTCATATAATTTTGTTTCTATTGGCAATAACTACGATATACTGCATTATTGACTGTAAGTTTATTAATATTGTATAGAGTTAGAGGTTACAACTTTTACGAAGAATCATAAACAGATAAAAAAGATGTTAAATTTAAACTCATCATAAACAAGTTCTGAGTAAAATTTGTCCAGGTAGTCACAATTCATAATGACTCGAAATACGACCCATTACAATGTAAACTTTCAAAACATCGTCTTTTAGGTGCTTGTAGGTATGAAAAAAAAAATGAAACCCGTATCTGCAGCATGATTCTTCACCATATACCCTTCTTTACATGAGATAGTTTTCAAAATCATTATATTTGAATGAACGATCTTCGTAAGTTGTAGTAAATAGCACATCTCCAGTGATAACTTGAAGTGTGCCATCAGTAAGAAATAAAAATAAGTGCTTATTTAGAACATAACTAATAACAAGTAACCCATTTGACACCCACATGTGAAAAATTCTTAATTTATTATCAAGAGATACTGCTGACGCATCTTCAAATTGATCATGTTAAAAACACATTCATAAAATGTGGTTACGAGCAAAGAGGTTGTAAACATGTTTTGCAAAAATAAATTACCAAGAATTGAACAGGTTCAAATTTCTGAAGTCAATAACAACTGTTTTGTTTAAAGCCCAATTTAAAAAGTCATCTGATCCCAACAGCTTCCTTTTTAATAATTTATACCGTCTTTTATTATGACAATGAGATTTGGAACATTTATTCACTTGGCAATACCTCAGCGTTTGATGCCAACACTTTTTTTCATTGCTATTCTGAAGGTGTGAAATTATGGACGTATATTTTATATTTTAACTTGTTCTCTTTGATCAATTCGACGTTTTGAACAATCTAATTATAAACGTTCAAAGTTCCGTTGTATTATAACAATTTTTAATATGCCAATAAAAAGCTCGTTATAAAAATGCAATAAAAGTTTCAAAATCGGTAAATGACGCATTAAACTTGATACGAAGTACGCTTTTAAGTTTCAATAACAAGTATATAGTTTGACAGCTGATTTAAATAAAAATGTAACTCATGAGTTAAGCTCATAATGAAAAGTAGTAAATTCTTTACCAGGATATAATCATCTTTGTAAGATTGATAATCTGAGGTATAACAATAAAATACACAACGTTTTTCTCAAAAAGTATGAATTGATAATTATTTTATTTTGATTTTACTCTTCCCAAACTTAGTAAATATTGACAAAAGAGTTAACAAAACAAGAATTAATTTATTTGAAAGATGAAATTTCATTTTCTTCTCTAAATAAAGTGGTTCGGCTGTATAATTTTATTAGAAACGGATTCAGCTTGAGTTTCTGTTTCCAGTCTTTTCCCTCCAGTAATATAATCAATTCTTGAGTTCTCGTTGAAATTTCAATACCTTTTCGAAGTTAAGGTTGTGAATAAGAAAACGACTTTTAAATTTATTATAATGATCAAGTCTTTCTTAAATTATTTGAACTCTAATAGAGATAGACGTTTCATTTAGTCTTTGTCTAAGGTTGCTTCAATAAATCATGGATTTTGGCAGTGGCGTTTCATCGTTTTTAATGTTTTTGACAATAAATTTAATTTTATACAAAATAAAATAAAAAATATTGATTTTCACATTTCACGAATTAAGTACGCCTGTTTCATCGATATTAGTTTGTAGTTTTATTTCTATACATAACTGTTATATAAGTTTGTAACAGCTGAAACTACAACTTCATGAAGCTGGTGGTGAAGCATATGATTTCTGCAAGTATTTTATAGATGTTTGAACTTTATACAAGTATTGAATCGTTTTATTCACCTTTAACCTCTCTTTTTGAAATATGTGCATATTTTCCGACTATGTACATTCGTCGTATCATACATATTGTAAATATTTGTGTAACTAATATACAGGATAACGCGAATTTCACACGCAATGTAATAAATAATGTCCATATTACTCATTATTGGGCCTGTGGAAAAATTTGTTACAAAACGACGTGAATTTCAACACAGGTTTTGAATCAATGTTTGGGGTGATATTTTTTATTTTATTAATCATCTGTGGAGTACCTGTTCTTATAAACTGATAATGAGAAGAATGTGGATCACCACTGACTTGGAAGTTAACACTAAACTTTGCCGTTAAGAAAGTTTTGTATGTCTAAATAAGGAAAATTTAACACAAATTGACAATTATTAAAGTTATATCTCAGTATTCAACTTTTTTTCTTATTCTGTTAATTTTTATTAATTATGTTATAAAATCAAATTTTTACTTTGTTTCAGGTAATAACTTAACAACACCAAGTCCACTAGCAACAGTAAGGCCAGTAAACGTATCTTCCATTTCATCAGAACCGCAACAGGTTCAACAGCATCCTCAAGAAGTTCCACCTCCCCAACAACAGCCACAACCACAACCGCCACCACCTCAACAACAACAAACTTTCGGCGGTCAACTTCAACAACAACAACAAATGCCATCGCAAACCTTCACCCAGCCGCCAACGTTAATGATTCCCAGTCAAAATCAACCTCAAATTCAATCGCTACCGAGTCCACACCCGCCGCAAAGTCCCAAAACGACGGCAACAAATCTAACGCCGTTTAAAGTAAAACCGACGTCCGCCCTAATGCCTGAAGATAAAAAGACGGTTAAGCAACCGTTACCGCCCAATTTTAATAAGAAAAAGAGTCGAAAGAGTCCCGCCTCGAGTCCTGATCCGCCCCAAACGAATGAGGCGCCCGTTTTCGGTATGGAGAATCAAAGTGGTAGGGATGAGGTTCAAAGCCCTGCGTATTCGGATATATCGGACGATGGTGCTCCGGTGATTGAAAATGACGATAAATCGAAAGGAAACGACAAAAAGGCTGATTCCGGGCAACAAATGCAACATATGCCTTCGTATGTTTACCCATTTTATGGCCAGGCGCCTTATTTGGTTTCATCAGTTCAAGAAAATAAAAATAAAGAACCCGAAAAACAACAACAAACCATAGAAAAACAACCGATTGAAAAGGATAATCCCAAAAAAGACAACACCAACAACCCAGAGTATCAACAAAAAGTTCTTCAACAGCATTATTACCCGTATGGTTACATGCCTTCATATCCTTATAACATGGAAACGTCTTATGTTCCATCGATCAATGATGATAAAATGAAAGAAGAACGAGGAAAAGATAACCCTAGTCCGATTGACCAACAACAAACCGTTAAACAAAACGCTCCAATACCGAATCCGATTCAAGTTCCAAATCCTGGAAAAGTTAAAACGGAACCGAATGTTGTTAAAGATAAACATCAAAATGATAATCATCAGATTTTGAAGGAAAGTATTGAAATGAAAAATCAGATGAGTTATAATGTTTATTCAAGACAACAAGTTCATGCGCAAAGAGAAGATGACGTCAGGCGATTTTACGCTTATCAGGAACAGAGGAGAAAGGAACAACAACATCAACATCAGCAACAACAACAAGCCCAACAAGCTCAACAACAGCAGCAGCAACAACAAAATGAGAAGAATCTATCGCAAAATAAGGTAAATTTGATTTAACTCTCTTTTTATTTCTTTATCCTTAATTTTTTTCTTTGTTTATTTTAGGTTCCATCACAAAGTCCTAATTTAAAACATAAAGAAAAACAAGATGATAAAAAAGAAAAGGATGTAAAACAAGAAGGCGTAAAACCTACTATGGAAACGCAAGGTCCCCCACCGCCCCCAACGTCTCAATATTACATCCATCCCAGCTACATGCAATCACCACATTATGGACCATTACCGTTCGACCCAAACCACGTGTATCGTGGCATAATGGTTCCAGGTCCATACGGTTCAAATCCCTACCTCCATCACCCTCAGTTATCGCGTTATGCCCCCGAAGATTTGTCTCGACCGCCACCACCCACGAAAGCTCTCGATATGCTTCAGCATCATGCCCAGTACTATTCCCCGCACAAAATCCACGAACTTCAAGAACGCGCGATTAAAAGTCCAACGCCGAAAACGTCGGTTGCGAGTAGTAGCCCGTCGGCGAATAATCCCACGGTTAATTCACAACAAATGAGTGGAGTGCAGCAACAGCAAGTTGTGTCTTCTTCGCAGGCCAGTACGGTTGCTTCAGGTGGTGGTAAACAGGTAACGGGAGATGGGAAGGAATCGAGATCACCCCCGCCACAACGACATGTTCATACTCATCATCATACGCATGTGGGGCTCGGGTATCCTATGTATCCAGCACCATATGGAGGTAAAGAATATTAAAAATGACTTCAAAAAAAAATGACATGATTGTTTCATTGATTCTTATATAATATTTGTTGTTTAGCGGCTGTATTAGCAAGTCAACAAGCAGCAGCGGTCACAGTGATTAACCCATATCCACCAAAATGAGACCAAGTCAGAAAGTGCAGTAATAATAGTAGTGATCAGAGCATTCCAATAAACGTGTAAAAAAGTGCGTTTTAACAAAACATAAAAAGAAAACTTAATCGGGAAGTGATTTTTTTGTAAATAGTGTAAAGACTAAAATAACTGTGTGAAGATTCTACGTATAAAATAATAAAAACTTTTAAATATGAAAGAAAATAAACAGTTTTAAGAACATTCTCTAGTTACTTATGCATCATATTTACTCTAAAATAAGAGAAAAACAATGGATTCAATGGTTATCGTTAAAACTATACATACATAAGAGGTAAAAAAAACTATTAAAATAGGAGTTAAATTGTAGACTGAAGCGAAAAAGAGAAATAGAAATTAAGGAAGAACAAGAGAATAAAAAAATCTGTACTTTATTACTGTAAATTTACAGAAAGAAGCGAAGAAATGAGGTGAATGAAATATAAAGCTAAATAAAAAATACAAAATAAAAATGATAATTTAAAATTTAAAAGCAGAAATTTTAACAATATATTGATATACACTCTGTGTATTTTAACTTGTGATTCGTTTTATTCTCGTGTGTATAAGTTAAAATAAGCATTTTGTATATAATATATATTTTAAGTGTTTATATTATATATACATTACAATATTATATACGTCTCTATATATGTGCTTGTCCACATATTTTTTAATACGTCAATTTTGTTCTCTCTCCCATTGTTTCTTGGAGTTTAGTTTCTTCTTTGGTATATTTCTTATTTTTCCTAGCGATTTTTTTATTTTATTTTTTTTAAGTCGTGTTTTATTCGGATACGTCCCAGTTTTAGTGGGATATGATGTATTAAAGATTAAAGTAAACAAAAAAAAAAAGAAAGAAATAATAGAAAAAAAATTATCGAAAACAAATACGGTTCTTATTTTTTACTTGGAAATCTCCGTGATCTGTACATTTTGTACCCGCGACAACTTCTAATATTTTTCGTCATTATTATTATTATTATTGTCGTCATCTCGTTATTATTATTACATAATTATTACTGTTAGTTCAATTTTTTACGCATAAGAAGGAAAAATTATAAAAAAAAAATAAATACAAAGTGTACAGGTTGCTGCTTTAATGTAAAATTGCTTAATAAAAAATAATTATATTGAAAAACAATTAAGAATTTTCTTCTAAACCTTATTTGGGAAATTTTATTTGCCAGCGAATAAACTTCGAAGTAGCTCAATTATGAAATCAGTTTTGAAATAAATCGGCAGTACCTAGTAAAGACGCCCATTAGAACTTGAATGCTGCTACAAGCAAGTCCTAAAGTATTCCCGGATTTGTTAGTGGTGATGTTAATAAACAACTTAGCGCGTGTCATTCCAGGAAAACTGGTCCACAGTAGGTAGTCTTTAGCGCTACCTTCTCGTGCTAGCTCATCTGCCGCTTCATTGCTAGCAACCCCAGAGTGACCTGGAACCCAGATCAGAGATACTCTGTTATCACAACTCAGTGTTTTTAAAGTTCTTTTACACTCATTAACCAGAAATCTAATGGTATTGATAGCACAATATCAGTATCTCCATTGGTAGGACATATCAGAGCAGCTTTCAGCATATTGCTTAAACCTGTAACTGATAGTTTTAACCACTTTCTTATTAAGTTACAATTAAAACTGTTTGAAATTGAACTTTAAGATCTATTTATTTTGGGACACCCCTATATACTGATTTCAAACATTTTCATTTTAATTTTTTTATTAATAAATTATTAAACTTAATTATTATATTTATTTATTAAATTTATTACACGGTCTTATTGAATATATATTTATTAAAATTAAACTTCTTTATCTTGTAAACTGACAGATTTACATTTAATAGTTATCATCGTTTTGTATGTATATTATATGGAAATGTATGAATGAAATTATAAACATTTTTTATTTTCAAACTTTTTATTGATAAACACGTTTCGTTATTGCTTATTTAATTAAATCATCTATTCAAAAATTGTTAATTAAATACACGGAATTATTAAATTGAAATTAATGTTTACGTCAAATCGTTGAAATCTTCAATTTATATACCATGGAAATTAATTAAAAACATTTTTCATTTTCAAACTTGATTATTAACAAGCACATTTTGTTATTAGCGGTTATTACTCGTCCAATTATATTGTATACTCCATTATTGTAAACTAAATACACAAAATTATTAAATTTTAATTAATATATTTACGTCAAAAAGATAACATTGTATATGGAAATTAAGAATGCAATTTAAAAGATTTTTCCATTTCAAACTTTTTGTTTATAAACATGTTTTGTTATTGCGCATTAAGTTACATTGTATATTCAAAAATTGCAAATTAAATACTCGGAATTATTAAATTTTAATCGATCTGGTTATGTCAAAAATTACATTTTCGATTGATATAAAATGGAAATTTTAAAAGGAAAGTGTTTGGTTTTTAAACTTTTTATTAACAAATATATTTTCTTGTTATACATTCAATTAAATCATATATTTAAAAAAATCAAATTAATTAAGCGAATTTATTTAATATTACTTTCTCCAACTTATGTCAAAATTTTGACAGTTTGAAGTTATGCTTGGTGAAGGAAAGAAGAAAATGTTGTAAGATAGTATGTTTTACAAATAATTTCTATAATAAGCTTTAGTTATAATTATTTTGTCAATTTGTGCCAATTAAATTTGGAAATAATGATAACAATGTTTGAAAAAATTAAATTTGTCAAAAATTGACATAATTCTTAATATAAACATAACCTCAATATTCATAACACCTAAAAAACTCAATGAAATGAATTAAAGAAGAAATAATATAATTAATAACAAATAAGTAAATGAAATTAAAACGACACATAAACGATCGACGAATTTTGCAAAAAGGTTGCAATCTTTTTCAACGTTTCTTTGAACGTTATCCACAATATTTTCTCCATCTTCTTCTCGTTTAATTTTTGCAATATTCTATAAAATATACAATTTTTATTACACCTTCAAAAATAGTAAATATAAAGAAAATTACCTTCATTGTAAAATCCAAAACTAAAACCATATGTCCTAATCGACTTTCTAAAGCTTTACTGATATAGTCATTAGCCCAATTGGGACTTGTTTCTGGGCTTTTTGTTATATTGCGTAAAATTACGGTTATCATTAACACGAAAAAGACGATTACCAATGAATCTCGCCCGAATAAAACTAAAATAAAAATTATTTAAACGCTTTTTTGTTATGGCTTAAAACTATATAAATACTTATTTTAGGAACATTATCTCCAAAACTTGGCACATTCCATGAAATGTAATGCAAATAAATTATGTGTGATATTATGTCGCAAACGATCAAAGTTATTCTTTCGCTTTCTTTAGCCTCTAAAGTTAATATTAATAACGTCATTAAAATTAATCCTAAAGCTGGTATAACAGCGGTTGCTTCAAAAAACTCGCCCCTCCTTTCAATAACAAACGTGTAAATTAACGATGGAAACGTTGAATTTGGACAACACGAATCTTCCCCCGAGTTTCGCGTATAAGTAACATTTATGAGTTTCCATTCGGGATTTTGTGTTAATTCTTCCATGTTAATTGGATCGTTGAAAAATTGCAAATCAACTTCTTCTCCTGAATACATCCACGATCCTATTACGAACGAACACGTTTGACGATCGTATGGATAATATTTTAAATCGGCTGTGCATAAAGTATCGTATTTTCCAGGACTAACACATGCTACTTTTCCATTGTACACCACGTAACAATTAACATTGCTTATTATTTCATGATTTCCATCTTGTTCATATCTAAAATATATTAATTAAAATATTAATAATTAAAAAGTTTTATACAATCAAACCTCGTTTAACGAATTAATACGAATTAATATACCCGAAACTTTCTAGTTCTAGGTCTAGTGTTAGTTCTAGTTTTACAATAGCACTATCACTGGAACTAACACAAGACCTAGAACTAGAATGATTCGGGTTTAGTCGTCTTGAGAGACGTGTGGCTAAACCCGAATGTTTCTAGTTCTCGGTCTAGTGTTAGTTCTAGTATTGCACTGACACTAGTACTAGAACTAACACAAGACCTAGAACTAGAATCATTCGAGTTTAGCCGTCTTGAGAGACGTGCGGCTAAACCCGAATGTTTCTAGTTCTCGATCTAGTGTTAGTTCTAGTATTGGACTAGCACTATCGCCAGAACTAGCACAAGACCTAGAACTATAATCATTCAGGTTTAGCCGTCTTGAGAGACGTGTGGCTAAACCCGAAAGTTTCTAGTTCTCGGTCTAGTGTTAGTTCTAGTATTGCACTAGCACTATCACTAGAACTAACACAAGAACTAGAATCATTCGGGTTGGGTTGGGTTTCTAGGGTTTTCTAGAATGTTTCTAGTTCTTGGTCTGTATTAGTTTTAGTGCAATAAAATATATAACAATTTAGCGTTGAATTATACATATTTTATACGTCCTATAGACAAATCAGGGAATACCCTGACTTGAATTCTATCTATGAATCCTAACATTTATATTCCATTCTAACGAGGTTCGTATTTATATCGAGGTTATACTGTATTTAACAAAATTAAATTTTTTTTTGAACCTATTATAATGTGATATGTCCGGTATCCAAAGAGATTCAACTGGAAAAGTAGTTGATTTGATTCCATCATAGTCCTCTGGATCCCATTGTAAATGATCATCAGCCCAAAACTAATTATAAAAATCAATTTTAACTCTTAAACTAATTAAGGACTAATACTTACAAATGTTGCCCATGCGTTAAGAGAGAGATAATGTGAATGCATATCCTTAAAAAATAATATTGTTAAATAATTAATATTATTGAAAATATTGAAACTATTCGTACAAAGCTGAAACTTTTTAAAATCATTTTAACACTAATCACCGTAGCCACAGTGTGATTTAATTTCGGTCTAATTTCTAAATCGTAATCGCATAAAACGTCGTCTTTTAATCTGGAGTGTGCTTGTTTTGACGATTTCATACACCATTCGCTACTCACCATCACTAAAAAACATAATTTTATTTCTTATAATTCTTTATTACCTTAACTATAAAAGTAGTAGTATTTGAAACTTAATTTACCTTTTAGATAATTTGAAAATATTGATATAACAACGATTGTAATCGTTATGAAAATACAAATTTTTGTCATAAACATGATTTGAATGTCGATTCACTTCTCAAACTGCGCTTATTTTTTGTGGTTCTGATGTTTCTGGTATCGACTTTTCCGGTAATATGATATTTTGAAACGCCCAGTATTTTTTTGCATTTTTATCAGTTGATAAATTCGAAATGTCTGTGTGTATTGATTCTATTCAATCAACAAGATATATAGAAATATTGTTAAATTAAAATAGAGGACGTAACATATATTAGTTTTAAACAGGTTAATCAATAAGAAATACAAATTTGTTCATATGAAGTGTTCATATAAATGTTTGCAAACTTCTTAAATGTTTATTAATCTCGAAAAAATCAGGATTTAAAAAAAAACTTCAAACTTTATTTCTCTAGCATTACTTTTTACTTTTTGATTTCAACTATTGAGATTACAGTAGTTAAGATACACAATACATTTGGCTTTCTTTTTTTTTGCGCATGCGAACAACGAATTAACGAAGTCGAGGAGTAAAAATATATAAGTTATAAATAAGTTAAAAATCGAATTGTATTTTTTTTTTATTATCTTTTTCACATTTTTTTTCTTTCATTTTCGCGTTTTTATTTTTTTCCTTTTCAAAGACGTGACATAACGATTAAAGACGATTATAAAGTATCCAACAATAATTAAAAATTTCCCTTAACATACACCGTGTACGTTGAGAATGTAAAAAAAAGAAAACATTTAATTTGAAAATAAATCAATAATTTATACAAAAAAAGTATTTACATAAATATTAAAAAAAAAAATTTTAACAATAAAAATGTACTAACAATTAGGTTTTATAAAGATTTTTTTGTTTTATAATTTTGCGATTAATGAATAGTGAATTTTTTTAATCATTTTTCGTTCGTTTATATTCATTAGAATGAATATATGAAGAAGAAGCATCTAAGGATTTTAATTATAGTTTTTTTTTATGATAATAATAATAATACACATTATTAAATTCCTATAAATAAGTACATAGTCAGTCTTTTCTATTCCGTACAAGAAGCACTAATAACAACCAACAGTTATACTAGAAATAAAATCGCTATTCGATATTAATATAGTACATTTATAATAGATTATTACATTTACCTAGTTAAGTTTTTTTTAAAGTTCTATTAACTTATTTTCGTTTCTTTTCTCAATTTATAAACGCAATTAAACCTTTTTCAACAATAATAATCGCGTTAATCTTGGTGAAAAGTGATTCATTCTTAAAACAGGTTTTTCTTCTGTAGACTTTTTAGACAAAATCTTTGGTTTATTCGAAATACAATTTTCTAGAAATCCTTTATTTAGGGACTTTTTTGCACATCCATTCGTATTAATTGTTAAAATAGATGGACTTCATTTGTCTAAAACAAAAAAAAACAAATTAAATATAATTAAAATTTAAACTACTCAGTTTATAATGAATTTACCGCACTCTTTACTTTTTACCCTTTACTGCACAATTCTTTTAAATTCTCTGAAAAAAAAGTCTTATACTATTTTAGGTGGAATAAGGTGGTTCTGACTACAATCAGCCTAGTTATAACGATGTTAGTAATGATAATTTGTTGAAACGTTGTTTTACAAAGAACCACAATGAAACTAGCAATCATAACTGCTTTGGAAGAATATCCAGAAAAACTACATGGAGCAAGATTCTTCATAAAGCTGGATGCCAATTTAGGATATACGATAAATCTGTAGATAAATCGAGTACCGAGTTATGCAGATTTTAAACTTATATGGAAGATATAAGGTTTTGTACATGACAGTATTTTATTAATAGCACCCGAGTATTATTCTTTGTCGCAGTCTGGATGTTTGTGGTAAATTTCTCCGCTTCCAAATCGACCTGGTGTTTGGGTTTTAATGGTACGTGTACCTTTATTGAAAACATTCTCTAGCTAGAGTGATGAATCCATATTTACTCAAATGGGTATCCTAAATACTCATAACCTGCACGAATGAAGAGATGAAAACCAAAAGATGTTACACCAAAGATGATGTCCAGGAAATAGTTAGACTGATTTATTAAATAACAATGTCATTGTATCTTCAATTTTTAACTGACACTTAACCATCGCCATTACTCGATTATGGACCACCAGTTAGAAATTTCTTAAATAAAATGGCTTTTTAAGTCCTAGAATTTAAATCCCTTGGATTTATTTCTTGGACCTTCTTGAAAGAACAAGTTTACCGCGACCTTGAAAATATCATAGAATTCAAGCTGAGTTCGTGTGTCCATGATATCTCGGGAAAATGTTTGCCTAAAAGTAGAAGGTCACATGTTTAAAAACCGTTTGCAATAATAGAGCTTTTTTTTCATGTTATAACAATTATAACAACTGTTCCCATAAGACTGTGACAAATTTCATTGAAATTCGTGAGTGATATTTTAAAAAATGCACAGTGATCTAAAATAGTTTCTTTTCTGATACATTTTGATTATATGGGGATTAGTAAACGCAAACACTTTAATAGTAATAATTTTTATGCCTTAAACAAGGAGATGGAGCAAAGAAATTATAATTACTTTTTGTAGAAAAGCAGTTATATAGGGTGTTTCATAATATATCTGCATGACTTAGGATGTGATAGCTTGTCCAAAAATTTGAAAAAAAGTTTCTATCAACTTACCCTCTAAAATGCATCATTTTCGAGATACAGGGTGTTGAAATTTAATAGAAAAAATCGTTTTTTGCGAATAAAATCGTTTGTGTAAAAAATTGTATAATTTATTTTAAATACGTAGGCTTTAAATTTTATAACAAAAGCTACCTCCTGTCAAAATAACAATTACTTTGTACCTACAAAAAGTAAACTATTACAAAATTAAAAATGAATTACAGAAACGCTGAAATGTGCGAAATGCATTACCTTTACGGAATGGCGTGCGGTAATTCGGCAGAAGCAAGGCGGTTGTATCAAGAAATACATCCTGATCACCCAGTACCACACCATAACTTATTTCTAGGCATTCACCAACGATTATGGGAAAATGGAAGTTTTAAAAAGAATACTGCTGATAATGGGCGGCCTATGGAAGTTGCAAATCCCCAAGTAGAAGAGGCTGTCCTCAACGAAATTGATGAAAATCCGACCACAAGTATCAGAAAAATTGCTCACATCTTAAACCTATCTTACTCGACGGTTTGGAGAATTTTGAAAAGGCAACGTTTGTATCCGGTTCCGGAGATATTAGCTCGAAAATGGTGCATTTTAGAGGGTAAGTTTATAGAAACTTTGTTTCAAATTTCAAAAATTTTTGGACAAGCTATCACATCCTGAAGTCCTGCGCATATATTATGAAACATTCTGTATAATCACCGTTGCACGTGCTGTAGGTACACTAAGCGTAACATGCTGATTCTTGTAGCAAAAATGAACCTTATTGCAATCAAGAATAAGGAACATACAGTTCTACAAGTGAAATAGTGTTCTGCTCCATTATGCAGTAAAGGGTTAATAAGTTTTTATCGTCTCTACAACCTATTTGTGTTATACATATGAATTTATTAATAAACCTACGCATTGTCCTGAATGTTGAGTTTCCACAATATAACCCCTTTGACACGCGTCCTGCATCATATGACACCACGAGGGGTAGGTATAGTTGTTGGTCCCGCATATCGGTCCGGACATATGACGGGGTTTGCACCTGTGCACGCATGTGACGCACCGCGGGGCGCCCGTTTTCGCATCGGTGAGACACGTCTGGGTCCCGGGGCACCTGATCCTCGAGCAGGTCGCGCCTCCGCTGCCGGGCGCCCTGCATGGCCCCCGGTACGCCATCGGGACGGCCTTGCCACGGCGGCACGCCTTCTCGCGCAGGTGGCACACGCTCGCATACGTCAGCCCGTCCGAGCCGCACACTCGCCGTCTGGCTGGCAATGCGCCCGGACACTTTTTCAAGCATCGGACACAGTGTGGACTTAAATTTTGATCGAGAAGACAATGTTTTCCGGATGGACAACTTATTTTATCACAGGAATCTAAAAACAATTATAGATTAATAACAACTCTAAGTCCAAATGAATCTTAACACAAAAAAAACTTACTTTGGCAGATACCATAATAAGCTACCGTTAAATCAGTAGCCCTTTTTCTACATGCTCTCTTCCTTAATCGACATACATTCTTATAAGTTCTCCCATCTGTTCCACAAACTGTTCCTTTTCCCTGTTTCTTCTTCGAATTATCCTTACATTTAGGGGCGCACACACATCTCGGTCTACCTTTTCTCATAACGCACGTCTTATCAGTTCCGCAAAGAACGCCTTCACAATTATCTACATTAATCAAAATAAAAAAAGTTATAATCCCCATTTTTATACTGCAGTGATTTATGATGAAAACATTCAGAGTCCGGGTCGCGAGCACGCTTTCTTTCTTCGATTTCTTCGAGGGCGTCGAGAAAGTCTTAAGCGTGGTCGTGCAAAAAAGTCGAATTAAGTAAGCTAATTATGTATTCGTACGAAGCAAAAGAAGGTCTTCTCCACCGGGATGGATCGCGCAGTTATGTCTAAATATAATCGTTCGCGTCCTCGTGCGGAATGCAAAACGACCGCCGAAACGTACGAATAAGAGAACGAACGATGCGGGAGTGGAACGAAGAAAGGAAAAGAAATGAAAAGAAACAAGAAGAAGAAAGGAACCGGTGTCTGCATATACGACGTTTTCTGTGTGCTGGATGGATGGTAAACAATAAGTGGGTGTGTGCGAAATTCTTTTGCGAGAGACATTTTTACCTCGTACCAAACAAGAACAAGAAGAAAAAGAAGCAAGAAGAAAGAGCCTTTGTAGTCGTGAAGAAAATTACCGATGATGTAACTAATAAAATGAGTACTATTTTTTACTTACCTTTGCAAGGTTTACACTCTACACCTCCTCCTAAGACTCTCCAGAAAAAAAGTGATCCAGAGTCGAGATGTTTTGAAGACCAAGCGATTCCTGTGTCCGATTGAGCACCAGAACAACACTCTTCTTTCGTTGCGTTTTCGTACAAAACCTCGGTACAACGATCGTTGCGTACCATTGATGACCAACAGGTACCAGCTAAAATAAAATAATAAAAATATCTAATTATAATTACGTATTAAAAGTATAGAGATATTGAGAGTATCATAGAATCAGTCAAGATAATCGATATTTTTTTATTCTTATTTATTATAATACCGAATTTTGGAGTACAGGTTATAATTCACTGGTGATATTTGCAAAGAAACACGTTTTAACCTTGCGTCTTTTGAAGAAGCGTTTAACGTTTCGGATGTCATGTTACAACCTTCTTCAGAAGCAAGTTCGAAGTCCTTCGTCCACCATAATCTTGTTATGCGATCTTTTCATAATCCCATTAGTTGGTCCGCTAAATCATCTTCTCATAATCTGTCAATATGAAGATTTTTCTTAATTATCTCTTATTTACTCCTTAAGGACCAGACTCAAATTATCTCGGAACATACTATATGTATTTGCATGTATTTCAAAAATAATTGATCCTTAAGGGGTTAAGAAATATTGATTTTGGAGCCAGCTTTCAACATTTTATTATTTTATATTTTGTAGTATAGTGGTCAATGTAAAAAAGCGATCATAAGAAAAGGTAATATCTTTTTCGTTTGCTGTAGAGATTAGTTTATTCATTACACAGGTTTTCTTACAGAGTTTGATTCTGGACCAGTACCCAGAAGCAGTACACCCAGTACCCGTTAATTACTTAAAAAAGCTCACCATAATCAGAAGACCAACAGACATATATAAAAAATTTCGGAATAATGTTAACTCAAGAGTCAAGGACATTAAAAGAGATTGTTGGAGTAAACTTAGCAGTGACATGGACCACGTCCTATACGGAGCATAAACGTATATGTACAAACAAAAACCTTCCCTCCAGAAATATGGGAGAGTTATTTTCAACAACTTTATGGTATAGAAGCAAGAACTACAGTATAAGAATATGAAACAACAGAGATAATAATAATCCATAAAGAAGAGCTGGAAGAAAAACTGAGAAAATTAAAAACTAGAAATGAATATCATAAATTTAGGAAATCATGAAAATTAAGCGGTGAAGAAGGGGGAGAAGGAGGAAGAGGACAATATTTTCCTTAACCTTTTAAAGAGTCTGCATATAAAAAACATTTGATTGGCAAATAAAGGATTTAGAAAGGGAGATAGTTTCATGGCCTAAAATAAATATACAGGGTGCCCATTATGTATGGAATATAGTATATATCTCCGTAAATGTTGACTTTATAAAAAACATTTTATACAAAAGTTGTTTAATATTTTATTTGTCATAATAAGACTGCATTCAATTGTTTTTAATTCAGAAAACAAATGAGTCACGAATAACACTTGAATTTTTTTAAATGGCAATGTACCCTTTCGTTAGGCTCATTTGATAGAGATTACTTTTCTCTTTGCGATGACGTAAAATGTTTGTACCCTTACATCAGAAAATTTTTGAAAAAAATGTAAAAATTGTTTATTAATAAAAATTAATCAATAACGAGATAGTCAATTACTTCGAATTATTACCGTAAATTAAATTTACATACAAAATAAAACAAATAAACGAAAAATTAGTGTACATCCAATAATTAGAGGTACTTCGAGGTACTTGACGATCTCGGATATCTAGATTAATGTTACTAGTTAAATTTTCTTAAACAATTTTTATATTTTTTTCAAAAATTTTCTGATATTACCCTTATACCTAAAATTTTACGTCATCGTAAAGAGAAAAAAAATCTCTATCAAATGAACCTAACGAAAAGGTACATTGCCATTTAAAAAACTTCAAGTGTTATTCGTTGCTCATTTGTTTTCTGAAATAAAACCAATTGAATGCTGTCTTATTATGGCAAATAAAATATTAAACAACTTTTGTATAAAATGTTTTTTTATAAAGTTGATACCTACCAAGATATATACTATATTCCATACATAATGGGCACCCTGTATAACTAGCGAATCTCTATATTTGTACAAATATTTGCTGAAGAATTCAAGAGCGACAGAAAAATAATAAAATAGGTAAACATTACATACAAAGAAACAAACCACTACTCAGTAGTTTGCTGCAAACACCTTATTAAGAGACAGATTCCAATATATTCTGATTCACGAATATACAATGTTGTGATAATGACAACCTTGACATGAACAATAGATGCTTTGCCCACAATTTGAAAATCATAGCATTAACGAATCTATTTCTTGGCAAACATGGATGCAAGCAATTCATCAAAAGCAAACAAATTTGCTATGGTTACAAAATATGGATGGAGGCAACTAATGTCTGGTATGAACTCTATCAGAGTGCAAAAATAAAAATCTTGTATTAATTACAAGCTACTTGGTCTTGGAGTGAGGATTATGTTGCAATACACAAATGTTTTAGTTAAATTTAAATCCATATCATGTCTTTTGGAATAACCTTTTTCCCACTTTTTGACATAAGCTACAGAATAGAAAAATTCGTGAAATCGGCACAATTAGAGAAAATAATATGTCTAAATGTCCAGGTTTACACAAAACTGATTATAAAGAAGTTCATTCTTGCGAAAATAAGGTTGTTATTGTTAAATGGGACGATAAAATTACTTTAAACATTTATTGATTACTGCGATAAAAATATTAGTCTCTACAGACCATCCATAAAAGGGAAAAAATGATATTGCTGCCTAATTTTTTAGTATTTTAATCTTAATTTTAGCTTAACATTTCGAAGACAAATTACACTGTCTCCTAAAAACCAACACAAATAATAAGAAATCCTTCATCTTTAGAAAATGTTGAGTCCCGTTTTGATATTCCGGATCATTTCCTCATTATACAGAAAATTGCAGATTTTGGCATAAAAAAGAAATGTTCAAAATATGACGTGGGAATGTTTAAATGTTTTTGTTTTGCACTATAACTGTGGAGCCTTTTCTATGTCTTGTTTAAGAACACGTATGATTTTATTATAAATTCTGATATATTTTGCATAACTTTAATGATGTTTTAGTTTGCAAATTAAAATCTATTTAAAAGATGATTATTTATTAATATTGTAGATTAAGAAGTATATTTCGTTTTGTGTACATTTTAATTTTGTTGAAATGTCATCAGTAACTCAAACCATCGTTGCTTAATCTCCTTAAATTAACAAAGATTGATTATAATGACAAAACTTAAAACCTACAATCTTAACTAAATGTAAAGATCGCGTGCATCATCACCATTTATTGTCCACCAACAATCCACTCGAAGCACTTAGTCGCAGGAAGCATTATAATCTAAACGAGACAATTTCCATAATTTCTCTTTCCCTCCTCATCGTCTTCTTCTTTTTCTTCGTCTCCCATCCACCTGACTTCACGTGCCTTCTTTTTATTTTCTTTGCTTTTTTTATTTTCTTCTTTTTCTTTAACCACCAAAGTTTTAGTCCATTAGCACAATGTTGTTCTGCCGTGTGCTCGACAGACCTTCTGATCGAGAAAAACCTTCCTTTTCTCTCTCGAGCCTTCCTTGATACATATTTAATTGGAGGACCGGACAAATTACCATTTCTCGCAAGAGAGCGAAAGAACGAAACGGAACGCAACGGAGAAGAGAAAGAAGAAGTAAGAAGACGGATGACGATGAAAGAGTAAGAAGGTGCGAGAAAGCTTCGTCGCGGGTTTCTTCTCTTCGTCTTTTCTGTCTGGCTCGCGTTGGGCGTGTGTATAGTTAGTTTTGTCTGCCGAGAACCGAAGAACAGGTGGTGTGCTTGGACGAAAACGGGTCGTGTTTAGACTGCGGAGAGAGACTCAGACGTTCGGTCTGAAGAGTAACTCGGAGGACTATAATTATCGTGTGTCTGTGTGTGAGGATAGGAATAATTATGAAATAAAAACGAGAGAAAAGAAAGGAAATAAAATGAAAAACAAATCTAATTTTTATTTTTATAAAAATTTTAAATCTTCGAATATTTTTTTTCAAGTTTTAAATTCGTGGAGAAAATTTCGAAATCTTTCTCGAAGCGAAGATAATATGCCGAATTTAAAGCGGTGTCTTTTTATAGCGCCGGTTGCGGCAGTAACTGTTTAACAGTCCCGGTCCGGTAGTCGAGATCTGAGACAACCTCGTCGTCGGATGGACGACGACACTTCTTCCTTCTTGCTTACTCTTTCAGTTCGACATTGCGGTTCGTCTCCCGATATTTTTCACCGGCAACATTGTAACGCGACATTATCGCAAGTCCATTTGGGACTCGTGTGTGGATATTTATTAACCCGCCACCGTCGCGAGACGTAATTAAGAGAAGATACAGTACCTGACTGGGAATGCTAAGGATTTATTATTTTTGGGTTACCTTAAAAGATTCACGAAAAAAAAGTTAAAGAACAAATTTTGGATTGGGTTAAGTTTGGAAGTATTTTGTTATCTTAATTTTAAACTTCTTGGATTTTCTTTATGAATTAGATTCGATTTTATAACAAGAGTTAACAACAAAATGATTTCCTTATAGAAATGACCCGACCCAAAATGCCACACGAACCAACCCACTGTAATATAACCGAAAAGGTTACATTTCGCCGTTGGAATTTTAACGCGTGACTCTCATCGCCTTTTCCCAGTATTTCGCCGCGTTCCGTAGATCTCCCGTCGAGATTACGACCTCGCCGTCGTCGTCGCCGTCTCGTGGCTCTCAACGTAAGACTCTTAACTCCTTTTCCTCCAAAGTGCAGTCAAAAAGATCTCGTCGCGAACAATACCAACAACAATAACTTAAACAATCTTAATCTCATTTTAACTTCTTATAGGATTAATAGCTAAAAACTTCATTACCACCTACATTGTATCATGAATGCTTTAAATCTGCTTCATCAAAGAAGGATTAGAATTTCTTATCCCACTGATCGGATTAAAACATCGAATATCATTCCACAATACTTAGCGTTGAGTTAATCAACTTTTTAGGCAATTTTTGATTCTGCTTTTAATTAGATCTTGTTGATTGACTGACATTTCCACATTATCTCTTTTCCTGTTGTCTCCTTTTTTTGCCATTTTTTTCTTGGTTG